TTTTAAGGATAATTTTCTTATTTTCTTGTATCGTCCATTTTGTTTTGTTTCCAATCCCTAGTTATTCTTCAGTCAAAAATTCCTGTCGTTTAACGTATTACAACAAATTTTAGGCCAAAACTTGTGCGCAGAAGACTGAAAAAATGTCTACACGGCGATAAATAAGGCGAATGACCTAAAAATCTTTCCTTTTCTTTTTTCAATTTTTTATAATTGCGTCTTGTTTTAAATATGAACATATATTCACAACAACTGGAATTAAAACTGAGTGTATTCTTATGAGAAAAGTATAATGCCTTAAGTTTATTGTCTCGCTTTTAAATGAGTGGTTTCATCATAAATACAGTATTCTTAACGAAAACAATGATGATAGAAACAAATGATAAAAAAAGAATAATTATGTTTGAAAACAAAAATCCAAGACTTCACAATATGGACATTACTTAGTTTCGGCAAACATGGATAAAAACTAATAAATATAAAAAAAAACTAATAAAAACTAATAAATAAAACCTAAACAGGTGAAAGTTAATTTTCTTTGTTCTTGAGTATTCACAACAAAAATCATAATACTTATGTATTAGCTTTGTTTATTTACACTATTTATTTATGATCTTATTTATTGTAATGACAGACAAAAATAGGCTTGATCCAAACTTTATAAAATTATAAATAATAAGGATTTCTTTATTATAGTTGGTTCGCATATTTTAATAATTTAATAAATGTTTATAGATTTATGAATAAAAATTGTTTTCACATTTATTCCTATATAAATTGGTAAATCATAAATATTGTATTATTCCTAATTGCATTAGTTTTGAGAATGTTGTAAATATAAATTTAGTCTTGTAAATAAACAATCAAATAAATAAATAGCGTTTAATATTTTTGTTGTAAATTCTCAAGATGAAAAATGTATGACTTCACTTTCATCATAGGTTTAGGTTTTATTTCAATTCTAATCATGACGATTTAAAGCAATGAACCTTGCCGAAGAGTCAAGGTAATTAAAAAAAGTGGTGTCATGGAAAAAAAATCCTTTTGACACTGCGTCTTATTGCAGACACGTTTATCCATTTTTGCCAAACTTTCTTTTGACCTTTAGACTTGTTCTCTGTAGTTTATTCAAACCTGCAAGTGAAGTTTTGTTGTGGAGTAAATAAAAAACCTCGATAGCACAAATGAACTAGGCAAGACGCCTTAAATAAAGAACTCAAAGTGAATCAAGAAAAGTCTGTTGGAGCCAGTCCAGGAGAATTTACAATGGCGTCACGACGATTAGCCTAAGCGAGACATAATATTATAACCGCTAGGAGCGAGTTACAACAGTGGCAACGAGGTATCGAAACTCAGACGGAGAAAGAGAAAATACTTTTTTCTTCAGCGCGCATGATAACAGTGACGACGAAAAATTAGAACCATATTGGTTTAATGTTTTTCTTTAGTGTGTGTAAAAAAGAAAAAAGAGAAAGAAGTAAAAAAGATATTCTTTTAATAGCGAAGAAATAAATGTAAAATCAGAACAAATCATGTTTATTTCGAAAATAAAATAAAAACTACTAAATGAATGTAAGAAAGACCATTTTTAGAACGCAATCCAAACCTGAACGCTTACTCGCTATGTGATGGAGTACTGATGTTTGTACAAAGAGTTAATACCTATCATATTACAAAAGAGGAATGAATTTCATAGTGGACATCCGG